TTGCTGCAGGAGTCTTTTACCGTTTCGGAGCTTCTTTTATATTCTTGATCATAGCTGTAGTTATTGCGATCTGCGCAGCTGCTGCTCTTCATCTCCGTCAAGTAAGTTGGTTCAGATTTTGCACCGAGAATCCTAAGACTATATATCAGGGCGTTTACTTGCACCAGTAATTCAGGATATCCTTGAAGCAAGAGAACTGAATGTGCTTTACCTGACTTGGACCATCAATGAATTTTAAATGGATGAAAAAAAAAAAATTGTGGATTCAATCTTTATGTTAAAAAATGGCCATGTAAAGGTTTTTCAAAACTTGAACAGTTTCAAAAAATAAAAAATAAAAAAAATAAAGCAGCAAAACCTTTTTTCACCATTGGACCAGCAATGTTCAACTGCTGACTTTTGATCATTAAATACACGTGTGTCCTCCGTAACCACAATATGTTGGTGGGAGAGGAATTTGACCTTTTGAGGAAATTAATTTAAACTACTCTTTTCAATCTGGTTGGCAGAGCACTTTAGATTACCCAAGAATGATCTTAAATCTGTGAATTTCTGAATGAGCAGAAAAGTTAGTAGTTTCATAGCCAAATTTTCACAGTTACCGTCTTGTCTGTCTAGCATTTGTATGTTTTTGATGCTTAACTTATTCTAGTATTTCTGAAATTTAGTTTGTTTAAGGAAATGCATCAACTCTCCCTCCGGGGTGTCAAAGCTTACTTTAGAACAAGCTATCTCACCAAATTCTAATCTTAGAAATTCCCGAAACAGAATTGGAAGGAAATGTATGCGATTGAGCTTTCTCAGAAATGGGAGTGTTAAATGCTTTGTATACATCAGAAACTTCTAAAACCAGTGAATCTAGGAGTTAGGTCTCAGGGTTTTATCCATTTACAACAACAACAAACCCGTGTAAACCCACTAGTGGGGTTTGGATAGGGTAATGTGTACTCAGACCTTAACCCTACCTTGTGTGAAGGAAGAGATGCTATTTCCGATAGATCCTCGGCTTAAGGGACAGTAAAAAGAAGCAACTAACAATAACAACAACATGGCATCTTATTACCTTTTTTTTTTTTAAAAAAAATGGTACTAATACTACTGGTAAGACTAGGAGAAGCACTCGACTACCTGTCAAACTTGAACCTAATTCTCGACCTCTACACCTTCCTATTGAGGGTCATGTCCTCGGTAAGCTGAAGCAATGCAATATCTTGCCTAATCACCTGTTCCCAGTACTTCTTTGGCTTACCTTTATCCTTCTTCAGATCCGCAATGGTTAACCCCTCACACCTCCTAATCGGGGCCTCTATGCCTCTGCTCTTCACATGCCCGAGCCACCCAGCATCGATTCCCGCATCTTATCCTCCGCGGGAGCTACTCCCACCTTATCCCGAATAACTTCATTCCTAATCTTATCGTAAGAAACAACATTGTCAAGGGTTTTATCTTATCGAGGGTTTTATCCATTTTAGGGCCCAAAGTTAAAAGACAACATTGCCAAACTCGTACATACATCATTTGAGGACATATTACCAAAAACAAAAAGGTAATAAGATAATAGGAGCGAACAACACAACAGATAGAAATAAAGATTTAAGAATAAGAAAATACAAGAATAGTACTAATACTACGGGTAAGATTAGGAGAAACTCTTGACTATCTGTCAACCTTTAATCCTAATTCTCGACCTCCACACCTTCCTATCGAGTGTCATGTCCTTGGTAAGCTGAAGCAATGAAATATCCTGCCTAATCACCTCTTCCCAATACTTCTTTGGCTTACCTCTATTTTTACTCATGCCATAGTCAACCTTTAACACCTCCTAATCGGGGCCTCTATGTCTCTCCTCTTCACATGTCCGAACGACCTCAGCCTCGATTCCTGCATCTTATCCTCTATAGGAGTCACTCCAACCTTATCCCAAATAACTTCATTCCTAATCTTATCTTAAGACTACAACGTTGTCAAGGGTTTTATCCATTTTAGGGCCTAAAGTTAAGACAACATTGCCAAACTCATACATACATCATTCGAGGACATATTATCCC